CAATCCTTTCTCCGGTCGAACACGCCGTCGTATTATAATTCGACTTCATCACGTCGTCGTCGGTCCGATTCGAAAACAAAAACGAAAAAATAAACAGTAAAAATTCCGAACCGATCCTTTCGCGGCAGAAACATGACCATGAGCCCTGGCATCCGGTCGTCGTCGATGCATTCGAAAAACAACTTCGTCTGCGCGCCACACGCTGACGGTCGGACATAAAAGTGAACAATTATTATTGGTACGCGTACGGGTGAGCGTTCGTTGTGTACGACGACGAAACGGACACACGGAAATCGATCGGACGGACGAAAGTTTTCGTTTCGAAAGACCATACCGTTTATAAGGACATAATCACCAGTACGGCGGGGAGGGATCATTTTGGGGATTCGTTCTCCGAAAACCTTTCACGAGTCTGGCGATCGCGGAACTGTTCATTAAACACAATTCACCGTTGTCGTACGGATGTCGGGAAAAGCGCGAAACGTGGAAAAAAGGAAAAAACGTGAAACATTTTAACTGTTCAGAATTCGTATTGAAACGGCGAAGAAACTCCAGGAAGATTTGTTCGAGAAAGCTACGATGATGTCGAGATCAACGAGAAAACGTATTTTTCGTTTTCGACCGACTTCTTGATTGGCACGACGAACACGTTTTGTTTTTTTATTCCGTCGGCGTCGAAATCGATTAGTTCACCGTAGCGAGTGACAACAATATAGTGTTCTGGAATTATTGTTGAGTGCGCACGAAGGGAGGTTAGAGTTTTTCCAAGTACAATTGTTGATTGACGACACACGGTCGTTCGATATAATACGCATCCGCGATGAACGTCGACTTTACGGGCACGGAGGTGAGAGACGCGGCGCTTCACCCTCAAAAAACCGATTCGTTTCGTGTACACATTACGCGCGGTTTTATTTCCATTACGCCCTCGTCGTACACAGCGCACGACTGGTGCCCGACCACGTAGTATCTTTTCATAATAATTACTGTCGCCTTTTGTTCGACGGAATCCTCCCACGACGCGACGACACGCGGTAAACACTATTTCGGTTTTTCGGCCGTTCTCGTTTCGGTCGTTATACACGCGCAACGCAATCGTTTCTTCAGACTCGTGTCACACACTCACACTCTGGTCCGATTTCACCCAATCTTTCTTTCCATTTCTCTGGGTCGCGCGCACACGCGAGCGCAACGCAACCCATTGTGATCCTCAGCGCAGCGCGCCCGAATCACGAAGGACACAAACACGAACGTGGACGCGGGAGAGGAGAGAGAGTGAGAAAAAACTGGACAATGTTTCCTGTGCCGCCCGGCAAGTGGCGTGTACCACACGCCGCCACCGCCCTTTTATTAGCATAACTTCTTTACGGCGTATTCCACACTCTCATGACAACGGTAATCGACGGCGGCGGAGGCGATGGTAACACCATTCTTTGTCGATGGAATAATTTATTCGGGTACGTTTTTGATTCGTATACGTATATTATTTTTTTTTTTATTATTTTTTTGTCGCTCGATTTCGTGTGTGTGGCGGCGGCGTCTAATCGGGCACGCTCGCGCTGCAGAAGATTTACCGGTCTTCTTTGCCCCGCCCGCCGTTAATTATTCCCCCGAAACGTACCAACATCAAGCGTGTGCACCGGAGAGCAGACAGAAAGAATTTGTATTATTCAGTTCGTTCTATTTTTCGTTTTTCTATTTTTTCATTTTTCTTTCTTTCGATCGATATTTTGTATTTTTCTACGTGAAGAGATCTTCCCGTGCGCTAACGGTGTCCCGTTTGTACAACAGTACGCACAATAAACACGCACGCACGCAACTGCGCCAGAAAAAATAATACGATACGCGCGAAAACAAAAGGGGAAAAAAATACCGCAGCGTACCAAGTCGTTTTGTCGGTCGGACGAATGCCCACATATTATACACGTTATACGTAGCGTTTCGCTCGCGTTGGATTAGCTCGCCGCACAACGATATTAATTCCCTCGGGTACCTGTATATACCTTTCTGCCGCGTCAAGAGATCTTATTTCGTCGCCCAAAATTACGTCTCTCTTCCCACTACCTTCTCACGACCCTCTTCTTCTCAGCCTCGTGCTGTTTTTTTATATTTTTTTTATTTTTTAACGCACGCAGATCGCGTTTTCAGTATTTCAGAGACTCGCGCGGTATATATCTAACATCAATTCAGCGCCAACTGCATGGCGGCGAGGTATTTATTGGAAAGCTATGTACACGATGACGAAACAATAGCGATAAACATTGTTTCGAAAACGAAAAAAAACTAACTATAATAAGTAATATATGTATAATATATAGACGGAAATGGAACTGAGACATGGGTAATCGTCGCCAGACTGGTTTTTTTTTCTATTACAACATCAAAACCTATGTACGCGGACTGCAACAGACATCCAGTACGAACATATAACCTAGACACGCGGTAGCGTGTCAAACCAAGTTCTAGCTAAGAGAACTGGTGAGCAGCACCACCGTGTGTACATGAACCATTTGGAGCCACTTTCGACCACTTCATAACTCAAAAACTATTCCACATAAACATGTCAAATTTGGCTTATATATTGAGACTTACGAGATGCATATGTGCTCCAAATTTCATAAACACACCTCAAACCGTTATTTGGATAAAACGTCTCAAAATCGTCATTTTTATCACTGACTGACCTATAGATCAAAATTGTAGCCCAGTTCCAGATCACCTAGGAAGTTCAAATTTGGCATACAGATAGGTAGTTAGGTTAGGTTAGGTAAACAAAGGAAAAAATCAGAAACTTGTAAATTTTTATAATTTTATTATAATTTTTTTAATTAATTGATTTTTTTTTTAATTTTTCAATTATTTGATCTATTATATTACATTTTTCAATTAATTAATTAAGTGCCTCTAAATTAATGTATGTAATGTAATGTTGACTAATATAGTTTCGCTAACCTTTCCCGTATCGCCGCGCCAAAAATATGTCCAGTCGATATTGGCGACCCATAAGCAGCAACATAGTTTTTTTTCAATTTTCTATGTATGTAATTAATATTAATTTTTATAAAAATTACAATTAAAATAATTAAATAATTTATCATACAATGATGAATCACCCACCCACCAGTAGAAATTATAGTAAATAAAATGATGATGATTAAAAATATACTCAAAAAGAGATAAAATAATTTTATATTTTATACTCAATATAGAACAGAAAATATTTTATAACAAATGTTATTAATGGTTTTAACTGAATTATAGTATATAGTAATAAACTTTATTTATAGAATAGGTCATGGTAAATTATTGTTATCGACGACAATCGACAACGAAGTTGTTTCAGGGGAAAAATTAATAACCAGTACTAAAAATAAACAAAAAAATAAAAAACAATTATATTGTTAAATAATCTATATATATATATATATATTATTATATTTCAAAACATAGATAATGTTCTCATCGTCAGTTAAAATAATGAATCGTCAAAATGAACACAATATTTGTCGTGGAGTAGCGGGGTGGGGAGCGGTGCGATATAAACCACAGAACATAAAATAAAATCTTGACGCGAACGTGCACTTTGGAAATATTTTTATTATGAATTAGTAGCTATTAATAATTTACAAACAAAAAGTAATGATATCCCACCAAAAACATGCATGTATAATGAGAGCCAAGTTCAATACTATAATATATGCCTTGGTTGTTAACTTCAACGACAAAAGTGAGATCTAAATGGGTGCCAAGTTCAATGGTCAGTCCTGAAATTTATTCATAACAATGTAAAATATAATTTCTTCTTATAACTTAGAATAACATATTGAAGTTTAAGGTCCGACTTGGCTACGAATTATATTATAGCCTTCACAAATTCTAAAGCTGTGAGTTCTTATTTTATTCTTCCGAAAATCATCTTCACTCTTCCATTACTATTTTAATAGATACTTAATAATAATTCGTATATGAAAACTAGCCAAGTCAGATCTTAAGCTTCAATATGTTATCCTAAGTTAACAGAAGAAATGATATTTTATGTTGTTACAAAATATTATATGTTATTATAAATTAATTTCAGGACTGATCATTGAACTTGGCACCCATTTAGATTTCACTTTTTTTGTCGTTAAGTTAACAGCCAATGCATATATTATAGAATTGAACTTGGCTCTCATTTTACATATATGTTTTTGGTAAGATATGTTTATCACGACGCAGTTCTTAGATTTTTATTACAGGATCGACGCAAACATTAATAGATACACTCACTGCAATTCGTACAAATGGTGTGCAGGTATATTATGACGTATGTTTAAACGTTTGAATTGAATCGACGATTTACTTAACAATAATAATAATAGTAATAATAATAATGGGAATAAAAGTAAATTCTTAAATAAAATGAAAAAAAACCAACAAAAACTTATTCAATGAAGTATGTATTTCATTATTCGTAATACCTATCTATTATGTTGTTGTACGAACATTGAAATGAATGAATTTACATGGTTTTCTGCAAATAACAAACATCGAATTCGAGATCATAACAATGCGTTAAATAAACGTGAGACAACATACAATCAAAGCATTTAATTAATAATAAAAATGAGTTGTAAGTTTTAAGTGAATTTTGCAAGATTGATCATGAGATGTATATAAATTAAAAACAACTACAAGTAGATACTTTCGAAATCAGATGTTCAGAAAAGTGCATGACGTAAAAACAAAACACTACTTTGCGTTTAGCAAGAAAAACCAGTATTAAGAGTCAATCGTACACACAGACACTACACGCGCGCGCGCAATGTCTGCGCGCAGAAGACGATGCTAAAACAATAGATTGTTTGCCATTGTCCAATGTACCATGTGCAGATAAAACTTCGAGAAAATGGTTTCTCGCGAGTCTAATCCAAAGACCGTCTCGTGTCAATCGAACTCGATATGATATAATTACCACAGATGAATAAATAGGCAATAATAACGTTTGTTAAGCGACTTACCAACAAGTCTTCAGAAGTAATAGTGTTATCCGTGTACATGACCAAAAGGTCTACGGAGAGGCAGTCGGATTCTCGAAGTTTAGAACTGACCAACAGGCAAGTAGTGCCCAGCAGCTGTAGGTGATTTTTGTTGATCGGATTTACCGACAGGAACCTGTCCAAATAGTTGACGGCCAATGGAAAAATGTCTTCTTGGCACTTTTGCTCTTCGCAAACCTGCGCAACAAAAATAACACACTCAACGTCAGACAAGAAATCCAACTATATACAATTAAACACAATATATGTATATATACACACTGGTGGGGGAATAGGGGCAAGATTTAACGTGTAGGTCTTACGATTCAAGTTGGTTTCCGGAATAAATGAGAGCTATTATTGTGTTTCGTTAAAACGTATAACGAAAATCAATAAAAAATAATCTTAACTCAATGTAATGAACTTCTATTTGAAATCGCGAGGAAACAAACACACCTATGTATTTGTAATATTTTAATATTTTTTCTATCGCCGTGTTATCGAAGTATATTATAATTTGTAAATCTTGTTGTTGAAAGTTAATGAAACGGTTAAACCCGGTCATTAGTACAAACGTTTATCACATTTATGGACCGGAAACAATATTGATAAACACAAAAAGTTCATCATGTCGGTCAGATAACCGCGGTTGTGTGCCGAATCGCGTGACCCTACGAACTCTTCACATTTATGTTACACGCGTATGCAACCAATTTAAATCGAATTTCAATAGAAATCTGCTTTTATTTCAAAGAAAAAGAAACAAGAAATAAAGAAATTGAAATATTCGCATCGTATTCCTACGCTGTAATGTAGATACGGTATTGTAATAGTATGTGCGCGGCACGCACAACCCGTATCGGAGGCGTAGGGTATTGATCTAATAACGATCAACGAGAGATTATAACAAAATGTTATAACAAAACCTTATGGGCCACACGACGCGTTCTGGCCGGATCCGGAGAACAAAATTTTGCCACACCGGATAACTCGTGTTTGACCACATACTACGATGCGGTACTGCCGTATGCAGCAGAATGAAAATATCATAAAATTAACTACAAATAATTAAAATCAACATTCATTTACAAAAAATAGTTACTATATTCCCCGATAGTCCCAAATCGTAAGGTCACTAAGTCAGTGTATTTTATAATTTAGTTAAGTACAGTCGATTATACATATTTCAATCGCGTGATAATATACTTTTGAAAATATTATGCGCTCCTGAAGCAGCCAGTGAACTAGATGAACCAATTATTCATACACCTAAAGTAAGAAAATATTGGGTTTATCCCGGACTAATTCAAAAAAATAAGAGGAAGACAAGAAAAAACAAGAAGAAGAAGTCAAGAAATAATTATTTTTCAATTATTTTAAAATATTCAACAATAACCGAAAAGTTTCATGAATACTACTTGAAATAATCAATAACATCATAAGCTGTTAAATATTTTAAGTCCTTATTTGACAAAGCAGGAGACAAATATGAGGAGTGCAATAAATACAAAACTAAGACAATGGTAACGATAAGGTTAAAGAAACAAAGTTTTGATTAACAAAATATTAAACATTTATTTGTCGACAAAATATTACACGAAGTTAAATGACAACCAACGTAAATGAAACAAAAAAGTTTAAAAATTATTAATTTTAAAATAAAAATAATATAATAATATAAAATAATATATTTTACTTAAAAAAGTGCTAAAATAATTTTGAATTATTTAAAAAATTACCTACAATTATATTCTGGTATTTGAAAATCAAATAAACATTTAACCTGCTTTGCTGTTTGAAAATGATATACAAATTTAAAATTTAAATTTAAATAGTTAATTTTTTGTAAATGGTTGTGTAATTGAATAAAAAAAAAAATAAAAAATAAATACAATTTTAATTTGAACGGTATTGATTAGGGGAGCTAGGAGATAAAGGATTCGAATTTTGATTATTATTCGGAGATTCTAATGGTTGTGTGTAAGTGTGTGATTGATTTGAATTACGTGACATGATGTTAGATCGATGTTGCAGATATTTAAAATGTGGCAAAGTTTAATCAAAATTTTGACCGAAGAATTAGAAAGTGTAGAATACGAGTGAGTAGTAGTACGAGGAATATAATTTGGATAACTTGGAATATTTAGTATTTGATTTTGCATAGGTACAAGAGAAATTGAGGGGTTGTGAGAATACAATGCGTTGTTTTAATTTAAATAGAGCCAAGAATAAACTAAACTGTCATTTGACAAATGCATTTAATTTTACTTCTTTCGTACTTTAGCGTGAGGGAAAGTTCATTGCAATCACTACTCATAGTTTCGCCAATAGAGTTCCACGCCAAAGCTCTGAAATGCTTGGTAATCTTTATCACCGATAAGCATGGTTTTGATTCAATTTCAATAATTAATTTTTCTCAATCGAACCATATTTAAAAAATACAAATTATTTTCATTTTATTCGCAAATTTAGAAGTTTACCGCATATGGGGCACCACCATGCGGCCGAACGACACTGGAATAATGTGTCGTGCGGCCCAAAATCAAATTTGTTTACGAATAATAATGTAATTCGAAATAAATTCCACCGGATCGGGTAATAACGCGCCCGGATAACACTTACGCACACGTAAAGTTTTTACGGCGCTCCGGTCAATTATTACACGCATAGGATAATACGAAAATATTCCTACGAAACTATCTGGTTTTCATTATTTTATTTTTTTTTCGAACCGGTGTCATGTCGCCTTAAGTCAAATCGTCGCTGCGACGAGTAATTACAGGGTGTCAAAGTCGAGAGACCTGGTGGTTGTACACGAAACGCGCGTGGTGATCCTGCAGCCTACCCGGTATCAACACCACGCACCGCAGTTGGAAAAATTAGTAACAAGGAACGACGACGTGAACGGACACAGCCTACCTATATTAATAAATGTAATACATCGTCTCCCCCGTGTTTTGATTCACGTTTCTTGCGGTCTTATTGTTACGGATAATGCCGACGGCGGACGGAGACGGACAACGGTGTTCACACGCGTGCGCGCGGCAAACACGGTGTATACACGTATAAACAATAAACGTTACGCGGTATGTACGGGGACGACTATCGCGGGTGGGCATAGAGTAGGCACTCGACACTACTACTATTGCATCAGCAGCAGCACAAGCAGCACTCCACATAGGCGTGCACACCGGTGTTGTTGTTGTCTCGGTCGCCGAGTGAAATGATCATTAATGGGGTAAATAAAATAAAAATAATTTTTACGACAACCATGGGAAGAAACCGGTGGCGGCGGCGGCCGGTTTTTGTGTATACAATACGGTTTCCGGGGAGAGCCTCCGACAGGACTCGTTTTGTTGTTCGGGATTCCTGGGAAGGCTGCGCTGCACACACGTCGCGCTCCGAACGGGACAAGTGGCGGCGGCATTTTCGGACATTTCCTTTGGTTAGCACGTGATATATGCGTCCGGTCGCCACTGCCGACGGGACACGAAATACTCACCAGCAGAGTGCCGCCCGAAACACGTGTGGCGGCGGCGGCGGCCGGCCGAAGAAATTAATTAAGAAATTACCAAAGACTTTAAATAATGTTTATACGTGGGAATGCGGTACGAGTATATGTATACGTGTATACGCAAATGCGTGTACGACGATAACGACTACTATATTATAAATACGGTGTATACATATAACTGCACCACTGATGGAATGTGCCTCCAGGTACAGCTGAGGCCAAACGGCCGGCCGACCGAAAACTATTTATCCGAATCCTAATCGTGCGAGGGATGATGATATACATAGTGTGTATAATAACGTTTCTACGCGCTGCGGTGTTTCCCGACGTGAAGATGCCGCAGTCAATTACTATACCCAAGGGATATACAACGAAGACCATTGATTTTTAGCTCCGAGGTGAGAGATTTTATTGCGAGATTGATGAGCACGTATATCTCTCTGTGTGCACGTATACACAACACTGTCGGATAAAATGCGGTTGTGGGTGGAGCTAGGTCGGTGGTGGCGGTGGCCGAGGTACGTACCACTAACCGGGTTGTTGTCAGTGAGAGACGAGGGGCCGGTACGCCGACAATGGACGTTGGAATGTTGTTAAACCCGAAACGCATGTACTCGTAATTGAAGGATAGGATTTTCGGGTTGTTTTTTTTTATTTTTTCTATATACATATATATATATATATATATGTATTTGTCCGTTCCATTTAATGGCGCCCACGGTGGGGAATAATAAATTAGAAAATTAAAAAGCGACGACTTTTATATGAAATAGAATTTTAATCACTGCCGCCGCCGCAATAGCAACCGCCGATAGTGGTATAATGGAGTGGACCAGTGTAACAAATGAACATTCGTGTATTGTGTGATGTACATTTATATATACATGGCATGTACGCAGCGTTGGTATGGAAGCAATCGAGACCAAACGTTGTTTTCGAACACCGTACGGGAAATATACATTTTGATTTCCTGCGGGAGGAGATGCGGTTACGCAATGCTTATCCGTATATGAAGCACTCCCGTGAATAACGTTGGTTTTCCTGCAGAACGATTTGCGAGTATGAACTGTTTTTGTTTATTTATTTTACCGTACACGATTCGAAAATATAAACAAACACGCTACTCGCGTACAAATGACAAGTGATTTAACAACAAATGTTACTCAACGATCCATGACGACGACAAGAGAACGCTACTTAAACGTCAGAGGTACACTTGAAAATTAAATTAAAATCGAATATTTTGCATAAATTACTGGCACACGGTCCTACGTAGCCGGAGATCTTGTGTAACTGGCACGTTGCCGCCACCGAGTGCATATATTAAGAACATTTCATCCGATCAAAATTTATCGCGCCCATTCGATGAAACTATAGGTACCTTAAACGTCGAAAACGTTTACTATGAGAGAGAAAAAAAAAATAGAAAAAATGTACAACATGTTGATTCCTTAAAATAATAAAACGTACCAACGAATTCACTGGTCGACTGGTTATCGAGATAGAACAGGAAAAAAAAAATTACAAATAAAATACACACCAAATGTAACCGGCGACATTGTCTGTACACACCAAAAAAGTGCGCGCGTGTATGACGCAAAAAAATTTCGTCGGTTCGACCTTGTCTATGCGCGTGGACATTTTGCACGGCTGTACGTAGCCAAGGTCTGCATAATGTGCGTTC